AAAAGAAATGGAAGAAGGAGCTAGCTGCAGAGGTGATCAGGGAAGAGTGCAGCCGGCACAGGGTGCCATGGTACCTGCCGGAGACTGTGGAGATCGTCCCTCGCTTGGTGCCTGCCGTGAGCGATGTTGGTACGAGAAGAGCTAGGGGTTTGGGGAGCACAGGATATATAGCGTCGGGAAGTTCCTTCTGTAGCCCAACGACTCGGAAAAACAACCAGCTTGAGCACCCAGTTTCTGTCAAGTATACTAGCGGCCAGTAGATAGTGAGCAGCTAGCCAGTAGATAGAGAGCCTGGTTATCACCAGCAAACTATATTTATATTTACCACTCCAGGTCAGAATTTCGTCTGCATGTGCCCGCAGGGTTTAATATAGTACTCAATCCATCCTAAATTGTAAGACGTTTGACTTTTTTAATACTAAGTTTGACCACTCGTCTTATTCAAAAATTTGTATAAAATATCATTTCTTTCGTCGTGGTTTGGTTTATTAATAAAAAATCTTCAAGAATGACTTAAATTTGACTATATTTGCATAATTTTTTTGAATAAGACGAGTGGTCAAACTTGGGGCCAAAAAAGTCAAACGTCTTACAATTTGGGATGGAGGGAGTACATTATTATTCGAGCGCAGAAAGACGCTGACAGGATAAAAAAAAATCAATCACCAATAATTTGCAAAATCTCTGACTAAGGGGATTTTTTTGGAGAAGGAAAATTTTATTTCATCCCAAGATCAGTATATCAAATTGATACATGGCCTTGGAACAACCTCCCGGTCTCTGCCTAAGTGACTAAGGGGATTTGCATATAAAAGCATTTGCTTTGGCTTTATCACGATATGATTAAATATATATTGTTTTAATATTTGGCTACCAACAAAGGCTATGCGAGTTAATTTCCAAGGCCCAGAGATTACCACGTTAATCCAAGAAAAATAAAGCCAAAATTGTCTTAACTACACTGATGGAAACCGAAATTTCCACGTGCCCCACATTTTTTTTGTCAGTGACCCAAAAATGCACAGGAAAAATCAGAATTAGCATGTCGGTTATGTAGACTCACAGGGAAATTTCAATAACCACTTGGTCCGTTTATAGGGACAGTCCATAAAACAACCGTCTCTTCAAATAGGTTTTTAAATCCGGACTATTAAGAAGACCACATTTAATAATGGCTATTAAGAGAGGCAATACCTCTTAATAAGGTTGCCACCTATATAAATCGATTTACAAAAGTGGCACACTTACCTAATAACAGTAATGCTACTTAGCGTACGTCCGGACGGACGGACCCTTCGTCGAAATACACGCGCCCCTGCTCCCTGCTTTTTGCGCGCCGCGTATTTCATTGGACCGGTGGAATCATAGGCTGGGAACTGTGTTTGGACACGACCTAGCACTAGCTGTCTGGTACCTATAAATAGTTATATATCTAAAACTCATAACTTTTGCATATGAAGTCGGATGAAGATGGAGTTTATATGTAGAACTCAACGAGATCTATAGCTTTAGTAGTTGACAAGGTTTTTATTTGAAATTATTGAGAGTACCAAAAAGTTATTCTAACTTTTCAAATTTTGAAGTTTGAAATTTTATTTTTTAAACAACCTTGATATTGACATGGTTTTATACAAAAGTTGATGTATTTATCGGTGCCATATAAAAATTTATATGTGATAAATTTTTATTTGAAGTCATCTAGAGTCCTAGCTAAACATCTCATACTTCAAATATTCAGAATTTTCAAATGACTTTGGATGTTGAAACGGTATGGACCAAAGTTTTGGTTTGAAAACATTTTGAGTCCTAAATTTTTTGTTTTCAATTCTTAGATTTTGATATTCAAATTTTCAAAGTTTTTAAACGACATCATATGGAGACACATATAACAAAGTTATAGTGCTTGACAAAATCTATATTTTTGTAGCGAAAAGGCCTCTAGTGGTTAGATCACCTGAGTAGCATCCAGTAGGTCGGGGTTCGACTCTCCGTGGGAGTGAATTTAAATAGGTCTAGAATAAAAATTAATAAAAAATAGGTTGGGGATTCCCTGCTGACTTCAGTCAAAAAATCTATAAGTTTGTAGTTGATTTTTTCATTTGAAATTGGGTCAAAAATATTACATTTAAGATTCCTAAAAGTTAATATAAAAGGATAGCATCCTATTTTGTTACAGGGGAGTTTGTAGGGAGAGAACGTGCAAGGCAAGAGGTCACACATCGGCATGAAAAATAGTATGACTGATGACCTGGGGTGCCTAGATATATATGGGGTTTGTGCTGAGATTTTTTTAAAAGTTTTTCTATACTTTTTATTATTTATTTATTTATTGAATATCATTAAAAATACAGGCATCTTAACTCAACCACCTATGTAAATAACATAACATTAATTTATTTATAGAGGTGATAGGACCGACCACCTCTACTAATGCATGGTCCATTAAGAGACTTTTCACACCCACCTCTATCTAAATATCCTTATTATAGAAGTGTCATCCTAAATTAATGGGTACAACATAATATATGCCGCTGAGAAAGCAGGTTTGAGGTGACTAAGGATAGTTGAGCTTCTAATCATGTGTTCAGCCTGTCATAAGTAATTGCACATATTAGGAAATTTAAATTAAAACCATATGAAAATATTTCAGTGCGTATTTTGTTTTTAATCTATCTGATCCTGTTAATAGCTTCTATATTAAATTCTTAAATAAAAAAATATCAACGATGCCACCAACTGTTTAGGTTTTATATTAGATGATGGCTCTTCAATACACAAAATTTAATTGTTGCAATATTGAAAGGTTATCTCAACAAATATGCTCCATGCAATAGCCACATAATTTTACCACAATATATCTATGTTCAAATATTCATATTATTGACACAAACTTTTCTCTTGTCGATATCTTAATGGTTCCCTTGCAAACAGTAGCCCATAATTGAACAAACAAACAAAAATGTTGTATTAACTTATTGCCATAGTATTTTAAAGTTCTGATAGAAGAAAACTTTGAAACTGTGGTATTACATACGATTGCGGTCTTTCCAACTCAATAGTTACCATGGATGAAATTCACACTTTCACACTCTTTTAGAGGGCTACTCTAACATCAACAACAATATATCTCTATTAGAACATAGCTTCTCAAAGAGATGAGCTCTTTAATATGATGAATACTTACAAGTCTTGACTTGCTATCATCAGTCACCCCTGTATCCCTTACAAACTTCTCTGTTCAAGAAACATACCCCTTGGAGAACCTAGGCATTTCCACCCTAAACTATGACCTATTAAATATTTTGCTACCGATCGAACACCAATTTTTATACGCAGAAATGTAAATAAAGTAGTACATAATGAATCTTGTAAGATAATGTATGTAACAATATCTAAAAACTTTAGATCAAAAGGTTTTCAACAGCAAAGTTGTATAATGTATTGAGAACTACAACTTTAGTATGGACCATGTTAGCATGGACTATGTCAATATTCGAGGTTGTTTGAAAATTTTAAATTTTAACATCAGAGAACTTAAAACAATATTTTGGGACTCTAAACAGTTTCAAATAAAGAACATTTCGACAATAAAGTTGTAGATCGCATAGAAAGCTACACTTTTGATATAAAGTTTGTCTCCATTCAACTACATATAAAAAAAGTTATTGAGACAAACTTGTATGTTAATCAATTTCTAGAGACGAACACTTAAAATGCTTGTCTCTCTTAATAGTGATTTTCAGAGACGAGCATTTTAAGATGACCGTATCTGTTAATTGACTAACAAAGACAGTCACCTTAGGATCCCCGCCTCTATTATCATTTATAGAGGTGGACATTTGCCTAGAGACCACTTGACCATTTACAGGGGCAGCCTCTAGATTTGCCTATTGTTGTTAATTAGACATGCATACTTTCTTCTAAAACCCCTTTTTCTAGTAGTGGAAGTGTCATTATATGAATTATGGAATATATTCTTATAATAAACCTATCTAGAGACACAAATGGTGATACTATTTTCTATAAATGCAGTCAAATTTTAAAAGTTTGACTATTTAGTCCAAATGTAGAATTTACATTTTTAAAAGTAAGATTGTATAAAATACTGAGTTTTTTTGTTTCTGTAACCTCCATGTCACCTGGGCCCGTTCATTGAGACGCCTTATTAGCATTACTGTAATGACTACCACTACTAGAATCATCCAATGCACACGTGTAGACCTGAGCAATTGAGCCCAGCCCAGCCCATGCCCGCTAGGTTTTGGCCCATCCATGAGCCTTATTTGACAGGGCCTGGGCATAGATCTTGTTGCTCAGAATTTTTTTTCTTGGTCTAAGCCTAGCCCAAAATATTTTTACACTGTGAAAATGCACGGATGGCTCATCCAGGCCTGGACCCGATCCGAAAAATCAGACCAAACTCGTTCAGTGAGACGGTCGTAGATAGGATTTTTTGGATCCAAAACAGCCTGGCCTTTTTTCGGCCTGGCTTAGCCCACAAAATGCTCATGGGCTACATAGGGCCCACTAAAAAGTAGAAATGTCGTCTGTGTTCTGTCTTCTTCACTATTGGCAAGCTTTCACTACTCCTGCGTGTCCTGCCAGCCTGCCTGCACCTGTCTCGATCTCCAGTAGGGTTTTTAGTAACTGATGATGAATTGCTAACCTGGCTCGCTCGGCAATTTTCTGGCCTTTTAAAATCGCACTAGCCGTTGCGAACACAGGAGCGGCGGCTGAAAATTTCATCTATAAATGCTCCAGATCATCGATCTCCTCCTTCCCACAATCCCCATTCGCACCGACGCCAGGCACCAGGGCAGCGAGCGAGCGAGCGAGCGAGCGAGCGATCGATCTCCGTCGTCTCCGGCAGCGGCAGGTACGCGCTCCACGGTACCATAGTTACTCTACGTACCCTACGTCCCTACGCTCATCATCGTCCCCCGAAGACCTAACCGCCTTTCCGGAATCCGAATCCTCCTTCCATTCTCGCAGCGAGCGTCATGGACAACAACGGCCGGCTCCTCCCCAACGACTCTCTCGTGGAGGAGGTCCCCGCCAAGAAGCCCCTGTGTGGCCGCTCCAAGTTCGTCGTCTCCACAGCCCGGCGCGAGATCCTCGGCGGCCCCCTCCACCGCACGGAGCTGCCCCCGAACCTACAGGGTTTCTTCTACGGCGACGGCGTCCGCGACGAGGAAGACGACTACCTGCCTTGCAAGAACTACTGGCGGTTCGCCAGGCTACCTGGGACGACGACGTCCGTCGACCCTTCCTTGTCGTTCCTGAGCAAGGCGCTGCCCGGAACCGGCACATCTTCCTCGTGGACGCCTGCAACGGCCTCCTCCTCCTAGGCCACATGCCTGAAAGTTACTTCTGGCCGGAGTTCGTCGTGTGTAACCCGGCAACGCAGCAGTGGGTGGCCGTGCCCAGCTGCGTCGACTTGGTCGACATGGACGGCGATGACGATCTTCGCAATGACCCGAGGATGTTCACCTTGCAGACGCACATCTCCCTGCTCTTCGATCCGGCCGTCTCCTCCCATTTCCAGGTGCTCATCTTCTGGAACTGGCACCTCATCGACGACGAGCAGGGGACGACGACGGTGCACACCAACTCGTCGGAGACTGGGGTGTGGAGGAACAGCGAGAGTGACTGGAGCCCAGAAGAAAGGCGAGGGCCATTGGAGGTGTGGCGCCGTCAGATCAGCTTCGACAATTTCATCCTTCAAGGATCCCCTGGCGCCTTCGTCGACGGCATGCTGTACCTGAACCTAGCGTGGTGCAAAATGATACTCCAGGTGGACACGGAAGGGAAGACACGAAGCATGTTCCCTGCGCCGCCGGTTCAGGCTGACGCCGGCAACAAGGTGCTCTTTGTCGGACGGTCGCAAGGGCGCCTGCACCCATCGTCGAAGGTCCTGGACAGCTCCCAGGTCAGCGATTGAATCGTCGTTATCGCAAGAAATGGAGGAGCCATGAACTGTCAATCTGGGTTCTTGGGGACATGGATAGGCAAGAATGGGTGTCCAAGCACAAGGTGAGCCGTCGGCAGCTGTTTGGGAGCAGGACCAGGATGCATGACTACCGTGTGGTCACCATGCATCCAGATTGCAACATGGTTTTCTTTCATCTGCGGCGCGGGGATGATCATCCAATGATATCGTATGACTTCGACCGTTGGGAAGTTCGTGTTGTGGACACCTATAAACATCACCCTACATATAAGATTATTCCTTTTGTTCCATACTTGTCTGAGTTATTTCTCGGAGTCCTTGGTGCTCACAAATGAGCATCGCTGCTAGAAGTGAAGCACTGCTTGGGGAATATATACTCGTCTGGATGTTCAGTAAGAGTTTCATCTTTCTATAAAGTATGGACTTTGGAGAATCTACCTAGTAAGAATTTAGCTTTGCTTAAAGCAAAGCCTATTTAGAAGTTCATGTAAGGTATAGCGTCTCAATGAATGTAGCTCCCCAGGTTATTCCTCAAACTATTATAGTTTAGTGTTAAGCCATTCACATGTACCAAAGAATCCTACAATCTGTGCCCATTTCCTGGATTACAATCATCACACACACACACACACACACACACACACACACACACACACACACACACACACACACACACACACACATATATATATGGATTTGGATTGTCTTTCATAGCCTCAATAGCGTTTATTTAGTGTTTTTAACTTTGATTTACTCTCTTCTTTCCTCTCTGTTTATACTTGTGCTGAGACAACATATGCAAAGTTTCACATGGTTTTGAGCTTTTGCCTACAATATATTACATGGCATGGAAAAATTTCACAACAGAAAATTCTATGGCATCTACCTAAAATGACGCCTTCGAGTATATGCTTATGAAATAGCCGTAACATGTTGAATATTGTTGCTGGTTCTTACAGTAGCTTTGTCCATTGCACTTGTACCATATTCGACTACAGGCCATTGGTTCTTTTTTGTTACAGGGTGCAACCATTGGTGGGGGGGTATAACCCCGGTACCCACGGCAATGGACATGGGCCACACCACCAGGGGAGGTCCAGCCCATAAGATCAAGGCCTACGGTGCTCGGCTCTAGTCGACGTGCACCGCAAGGTAATCAGAAGACATCTTGGCAATGAAGGAAGATCTGTTCGGATATGATAGATATCGTATTCCTTATAAATACTTACCATATAGCCGAATAGATCTAGACCTAAATCAACCTATAACCCTACCCTCCAGACTATATAAGGCGGGTAGGGATCCCCCTCGAATGCATCTCATATTCAATACAATCTACCAAAGACACTGGACGTAGTGTATTACGTCGATCAGATGGCCTGAACCTGTCTAAATCGCTGTCTCTGCGCCCATGTCACCATTCGGTTCCTATTACGCGCACCTCCGCCAATCATCTACTACCGTGGGTGTATCCCTCGATAGACTGCCGACTAGATTTCGTCGACATTAGCCTAGTACTTGGAAGTACTTAGAGCAGCTCTGGTGTATGAATCGAACCGAGATACAGAGTTCGCTTCTGTGTTTGATGGTCTGCTACCTCTATTGTGAGTGGGTCCTAGCTCCAGTTAAATATCATTTTTTTCTCTAGTTAAATATCTCTTCCCATCTCCTATTCTCTCGTCTCCCAACTAGTATTATTTTATTCCCACGAGTCGAACCAAGTTTGGAGTTCACTTTTGTTTGACACCGACGGCTCGACTGCGCTAGTGTGTTTTGTTCGATATTTCTTCACCCCCATGGTTTTAGTTTGGAATACACTGGAGCTGCTCTTAGTGTATACAAGTCAGCAATAAGTCGATACTCTATAGTACTTCAATATGTGTTACTTACAAGGAGTTTGAGCAGAAACTTGAGAAACACAAAAATTCATGATTAAACTCCAAATGGTGCATGTCTTTCATTAAGGCAATGTTGGCGTATTTCTTAATGAAATAACAATTCATGTCAATAATAATATTCTTTTTTCGATGTCAGTCTCCACTATAATCTTTAACTAAACAAAACATGAAATTTTAGATTCCCGGATCTCCTCTATTGAACTTTGTTCTACTATAAAGGTAATAATAACCTGTTGGTATACCCTATATATGGTGGATTGCTATTATATTAGTGCTTAGTTATTTTTCTATCTATTTTCTCTCACTTTGTATTTGACTGGGTAATTGACTATACTCGGCACCATATATTATTGAAAATGTTTTGATTCTACACCTAGCCATATGACATGAATCTTAGGTAAGCGAGCCTATGCATATTAATTATTATTTCATATGTTGCCTATTTCTCAGAGTCACACAGCGTGTTGCAGGCATTCAAAAAAGTGCTCCAAATATTTAGATCAGCTAACAACTTGGTTACTCCATTAGATTTGTGATATGTTGTATTTGTGCTTGGATTTATTACATCATGATTTTGTGTCTCAAAAGTAATACACCATACCGACGCGGTTGACAAATGCAATGCCAGATAAATTTATGAATGCAGTTGCCCAAGTTGCAAAAAAATGATGCGTTTTGGCTTTCAAGTTATTATATGCTTTAAATACTAAATTTGTGTACCAAAGAAATGATAATAATCATGAATACCTTCTCATGGTCCCATTAATGAGTAATTAGTCTTGTGTGTTTTTTGTTGTCTCAATCCTGCATATGTTTATTTATTAAGTCTTATGAGTTTTTCGACTGTATATATATCATAAATAATGCATGCAGCGATAAGGTTTGAACTGAAGACTTACATTAACACATCAAAAGTAGCATAGTTTATTTTATTGCTTTTTGCATTGGGTCTACTTTTTTATAACAACATTAGGTCTACTTTAGCAGCCCTGCAAAAGACAGCTATACTTGTTTTATTTTCACTAATATAAACAGATGCCTTGATTTCATATTAAAGTAACTTTTATGTGTATTTCTCTTTCTTTTTTATAATGAATCTTAGTGCATACGACTCTGGTGGAACTGTACAATTCCATCGTTCAATCAGGATGGACCTCTGTCCGTTGAAATGGCTTGAAGAATTCTGTCAAAGCTCCCCTCTACTAAAGTTCAGTTAGAGAGACCTGAAACAGTAGTAGTTGCGAAATGGTAATTTTCCCTCTCCTCTAAAGTAGTAGTTTCATATACACCCGAAGAACAACCTACATTATATACTTAGCAATAGCGAATTGTATTTTGTTAGAGTAAACAATAGCTAGGCCTGTGCTAGTCCGCACAACGACTTTGTTCTATTTTGCAGAAATCATCATTACTTCGGCTAGCTTGGACAATTTGATTCGTCATGAGTAACAAGATCTGCTTTGAAACATTTGGATATTCCATTTAGACACATGCATGTAATTCAGAGTTTGATTTGCTGTGGTTATAATAAGGAAACATACTTCCTTCACTGTTGGAAATATACTCCATTCTAGTTACAGTCCAATTTGGCTTTTTCCTAGGTTAAATAATTTCACTAGCTTTGACTAACATTTTAGAAAATATATTAAAATCTACATGTTCAAATAAATGCACTCTCAAAAATAACTTGATGCCACAAGCTTTGGTGAATTTTTCTACAAACTTGCATTGGTGAAAGTTAAAGAAGTTTGACTTAAGACATAACTAAAGTGAACAATAATTTGGAACATAAGGAGTATTCATTTGGGGGCATTTCCTATTTTTTCTTAATTATTTGATATATAATTTCATGCAGACTCTAGTCAATGATTTTAGTTGGTTTCAAACGTCATTCATGGTACACACATTGTCATATGCTATTTCCAGGAAAATCAGTGACATATGACTAGACTTGGGCACAGAAGAGGTTTCTGGGAGATCTGTGTCCACGCATTCAATTAGCGTGGATGGCAGCTACCTTGTTCTGTAAATGGATGAAATACTATTTATCTTCCTCATTCTTAGTTCTGTGTTTATGTTTATATGCCTTTATCCCTGTAGTGTCAGAGCAACTCTCAGCCTATTACTTGGAACATAATAGAACCTAATGTCTTTGCTACAATAATCTAATAATAGCTCCATTTGACAGGATAACTTCCTATACAAGATGCAAGGTACCCAATCGTATTCAGACGCACTACTAAAAAAAAGATTTATAGCAACGGCTCATTTTTTTAGGGGTGGCTGGGGATGGAGGCTCCCCTACAATGGACGTGCTCGGGACCCACGAGACCAACCGCCCTTACAAATGGCACAGTAGGGGCGGCTGGTGATACCACTACTACAGAATGGACTTGTTGCTCCGGGCGGTAACGACCTTTAATTAGTCCCGGTTACCGCACCGGGACAACAATCCTGGGACTAAAGGTGCCACCTTTAGTCCCGGGTCATCGAGCCGGGG